GCCAGCCCTAGCGGGTTTCGGGCTAACCCTAGCGGGCTTCGGGCTAAACGGTCCGGGCCTAAAAAAGCCCTGATTTAAACGGGCTACTAATAAAAGAACCTAACCCTGTTTTTTTTGGGCTAAACGGGCCGACCCGTCGGACCAAGGACCATTTAACATCTCTAGGTCCAGCAGAGTCAACACTCCGGGACTCATCGTGGCCTTTTGACGGGGATAAGGGAACTGTTGTGTCACCCTTGGGAGGTGGGATTAGTCACGGTTATCGCGAGGTTAACTTTGTGGCGGACTATTTGGCTTCGTTAGCGGCTACGGGCCCATGTGGTATCTCCAGATTGGAACATCCCCCGCCAGGGGCGAATGTATGGTTGCACCATGATAAGATTGGTGTGTCGTATCCTCGGTCGATTGCTCTCTAGTCTTGCGTAGCCTCCTTCTTTGTACCAAAAAAAAAAAATTAATAGTAATAATAATAATAATAATAATAAGGCTTAATTGAACATAAAATCCTCACCTTTTGTGTAGTTGCAAATAAAACTCACTTTTTTTTATTTTTGCAAATAAATACCAAACTTTTATTATGTGTCGCAAATTTGTCTCAAAACTATTTTTCGGCCAATTTTACTGATGTGTCCGATCAGAACACTAAAATTGCCTAAAGATCACTCGAAAAATGCTCTCTATGCTCAATTTTCCAGATTTTGGGGGTGAGCTCGTAAATGTATTCAGAATGTTGGGGTGAGCTCGATTTTTGGGGTGTGAAGAATCACGTCATGGAGAAGAGAAGAACCACTGTATTTTTTTTTTCAATTGGGGAGAAGAACTCGATTTTTATGAAGATTATGGAGCAAAAAAATGGTGATAAAATCCTATTTTTTTTAATTGGTACTAAACTCTAATTTTGGTTAGTTTGTTGGCATATGATGTGGCAAAAACATGGTGAGGAGTTTCAAAAGATTGATGTCACAAAAGCCTCATAAGTGCCACGTAAGATTTCTGATCTGACACGTCAACAAGGACTGGCCTAAAAATGGTTTTGAGACAATTACAACACATAATAAAAGTTTGGTATTTCTTTGCAAAGATAAAAATGTTCAATTTTATTTGCAATTACACAAAAGATGAGGAATTTAGGTGCAATTAAGCCTAATAATAATAATTAGAAATCTCCGAAGATTCGTACCGTACTGAACCGAATTGTTCTGATAGTCCAGAATACCGAACCGAAAAATAAAAATCTCTGAACCGAACCGAACCAATTTTTTGGTACGGTTCTGGAGATTAAATTTTAATGACCTCCAAATTTTGGTACAACTCTGACAATTTATCAATCTCCAAACCATACCTACTCATGTTTACCCTAATGGCAACCATGCCCTCGGTCGAGGACATCCAGTAAACCCATATATGCATCCTGTGTAAGAGGGAACCACAAACCAAGCTTGGATATTTTCTCGAGTCACATCAAACCAATTTATAGTTTGCAAGTGATAGATTGTGTAATTAAATATAGCCAATTTTATTTTTGGCAAGTCAACATTCCAAACAATAATTAATAAAATAAAAATGACAATAGCCATAACCAAGTCATCATTTTGAATTATCTCAAACGACGTACGACCATGGATGACAAGGGAAAGAACAAAGCCCACTGCTTAATCATGCCGTACCCAACCCAAGGCCACGTGAACCCCATGCTCCAATTCGCAAAGCGGTTAACCCAAAAGGGCATCCGGGTCACCCTTGCACTCACCAAATTCCTCCTATCAAAATCCACAAACGAGCACTCCTTCGGGCCCATCTCGGCCCGGGAAATCTCCGACGGCTTCGACTCCGGTGGCCGGGCCGAGGCAAAGAGCTCGGAGGAGTACCAGGCACGGTTCGAACGTGTGGGACGGGAAACGCTGACATGTCTATTGCTGGATCTGGCTGGTGCGGGCCGACCCGTGGACTGCGTGGTGTACGACTCGTTCATCCCGTGGGCCCTGGACGTGGCCAAGGGGCTGGGGCTGTCGGGGGCGGCCTTTTTCACACAGTCGTGCACTGTGGACGCTATTTACTACATGGTGTATAAGGGGGAGTTGAAGCTGCCTGTTGATGGAGAGGCGGCGGTCGTGGTGGCTCCCGGGTTGCCGGAGATGAGGTCGGAGGATCTGCCGTCTTTTGTGTACGACTGCCGGTCGTATCGGGGGACCTTTAGTTTGTTGCTGAACCAGTTTCGGGGTGTGGAGAAGGCGGAGTGGATATTCATCAACACTTTTGACCAGTTGGAAAAAGAGGTAAGTTAAGAGTGTGTTAATGAATCGTTAACATTATTATTGCTTTTGTTTCAACATACCTAAAGTCACCGTGGAACTCAAGATGTGTGCTTAATTTTTTTTTTTTTATTCTTTATTATTTAAATATTATTTAGATCATTTAGTCATTGATAGTTAACCGTTTACTTCAGGCGTTACTGTTGACTTACGACTTGA